CAAGCTAGGTGCGCTCGCGTCATGTCTGACATCATACCCGTCCAATCCCTTACCATGGCGTAGATCCCCTCTCTACTCGCACAGTCGGATGTCGAGCAGGGCAACGCTCCCGAAAGGGTACGCGATGCATTGTAGAGCACGGCATTGAATGGCGTAGAAGAGCACCGCAAAGCGTAGTATCAACCTAGCATTGCATTGCATGCCGTGGCATGGCACGGGAAATGACGCCAGCGCTGCAGCGGGAGCACGAGTCGAAACGAGCGGAAGCGCGGAAATGAGGCCAGCGCTGCAGCGGGAGCACGATTCGGAACGAGCGGAAGCACGGAAATGAGGCCAGCGCTGCAGCGGGAGCACGATTCGGAACGAGCGGGGCCCGAAAATGAGGCCGGCGCCTCAGCGAGAGCAGCATTTTGAAAAAAAAAATGCATGCGAAAACCCAACTCTCCGGGGGAACCTGCGTGTAAAAAACAGTACGCGGGGGGGGGGGGGGCTTTCAAACGTCATAAGGGGAAGCGGGAGAGTAGTATTCAGATTGACAATTGTGAAGAGGGAGGGGGAGGAGGGGGTAGGAGGAGGGGGAGGGAGGGGGGAGGGGGGAGGGGGGAGGGGGGGGAGGGGGGGGGAGGGGAGAGGGGGGAGGGAGGAGGAGGAGGAGGGAGGGTCGGGCGTGTCCCCCTACAGGGGGATGTTCGACGACACATGGAAAAAGTACCCCACAAAAGTACCCCCAAATGGTCAGAAAATGCTCAACAAGGGGGATGTTCTACGAAAAAAATAAGAAAAGACAACAACAAAAAAAACGTACCCCAAAGTACTCCCGAAAGGTCAGAACATGCTCAACGAGTAGTCCCCTGACGAATCTGTGGGCTATCTTTGAAGAGTCCCCCTGTAGAGGGACAAGCCCGACTCAACACTAGCACACGGACAGACTCGGATGCAGATGAATCGAGAATTTCTGTGGTGGGCGTGTCTCCCACCGCCACAAGCACCACAAGCATGAGGGGGAGGGGGTTCTTCTCCTCCTCCTCCTCCTCCTCCTCCTCCTCCTCCTCCTCCTCCTCCTCCTCATCCACCTCCTTCCCCCCTCCAACTTATGGTGGTGGTGGTGGGAAACAAGCCGGTCATTCTGAGATCCGGCGGACCTGGAAGATGTCTCGGGCGCCGCTGCCTCCTCAGAGCCTTCCTGAACTCTCTGAGAGCGTTCCAGAAGGCTCTGGAGCGGACTTATCTTCGTCCCAGACACGTCAGATGTTGATGGCGGCACAACGACGGACGTGATGACGACCATTCGATGTAGCGGAGCATTGCGTTGCGCTCGATCAAGCAAGTCGGCCCTCTGCAGAGCTCGGGTGAAAGAAGAAACACGCCTTCAGAACTGCCCGTCGTCAAACCAACGGCACCGTGGCAGGCCTCTTGCACGATGCGGCCAGCTGCTGTTCAGCACCGCACATGCACTAGGGGACCGTTCGCGCGCTGGTGTCATGCAGCGGCGGAGCGCTGTAGCGAAACAGTGGCAGCATGGCTTGGCTGCTTGCGATTTGACGATGCTGAAAAAGTAGCGACTAAGCAGGCCTGGTGATACCAATGGCAGACATGCGATGATGGTGGCAGCGATGCCCACGCAGTGGTACGCGGTGGAATATGACGGATCGATCAAGAACGAAGGATATGTCATGGCACTTCATACCTCGCGCGACCACGCATCCCGGCTGATCACGGACTCCCGTATACAGTGCAAATCGCCCGCAGGTAAGTTGTCAAACCGGACAACCCCTACATAGATGCAGGCATCCTGGGTGGAGCACGAAATTCCCGGTTCCACCAAACAGGTTGGGAGATCCTCGGCCCGACAAGACAAACCGATTTCAACACAACCCCTCCTGGATGGGGAACCGCATTCCCGGCTCCGCCGCTGTGGAAACTGTCGGGAGCGGCCAAGAGGGGGGTGTCCAAGAGGGGGGGGGTGCAAATCATGACCGGCGGCATGTGCGCGGCCCAGCGGGGGGGCCAGGGACGTAATGAAAGAAGAAGGGGCGCCTTGAAATCTGGGGAGATATCATGGCCCCCGCCATGATATCCCCCCCCCCCTAGCGATCACCCCCCTCTTTGCCGCCCCCGAGAAGTTCTCGGACGCTCAGGGACAAGCCGACCTCGAGCCCACTGCTCTGCGGGGAGCCCGAGGCGTGCTGACTCGCTGGGGGGGCGGGGGGCGGGGCCCGAGCGCCGGTGACGACGCCCATCCCCGGGATGTCTCCCGGGGAGGCAGGTTTCGGCGAAGACGCCGAAGCGAATCCAGCCTTGGCGACAGGGGGTCCCTGGAGGGCCCAGAAGGCGAAGACTGTGCAAAGTAGGCGCTGGTCGAGAGGAGTGGGCAGAAGCATGAAGCAGGAGGGCGGAAAGCAGTAGGTAGAAGCACGAAGCAAATTGGGTTCGGGCCCGCCCACAGAACAGCAACACACAACCTCAACAGATCGATTCTTGAAGAAGGAAGGTGCTTGAAGGACCCGGGAATCAAGAAAAACCTACTTTCAACAACTGGCGTGCATAGGTATCGGTATGTCTCTGTGCCTCTGACCTGAGAAACCCCAGCTTTGCCCTAGTCCCCCGCTCGCCACCTCCCCGACATGCCCATCCCCACACATAAAACTATTTTCTGAAAGAGTCCAGCAGAACTACATGTTTCATGATTTCCACATCGACTCAAAGCAGATTTCCGGGAGGCCTGCGTAGGAACGAGTAAGGGGTGCACAGCCCGACAAAAGAGCCACTTTGCCTCGGGTCTCGCAGCACCCGTCCCCACCTGGCGGGGATACGCTGGAACAGCTAATCAACCCTGTCCCAGTGAGGCTTGGAAGGACTCGGACGATGATGAGACCTGCCTAGACCCCCCCTGTCCACCCCAGCTTCTACAGTCGACCCATACCAGAAGGATGCACGATGAGGATGCGAGGGCCTTGCAGAGCCATTCTGGAGCTTTTCGAGCGGGGCGCGGCCAACGAAAGTGGCCAAGGATGGGCGGAGGAGGCAAGGATGCAGGATCACCCTCGGGAACAGGTCGCCCCTCCTCCCCATGCAGGCTGCCTGCACCCCCGGCTCCACAGCTGCGGCCCGGAGCGGGAGAGAGCACCCCGGCGCCTGGGCGCCGCCGCTCCCGGGCGAGAGCCGCGCGGAGGTGGGGGGCCGGGAGGCTCTCCTCGACCGAGGGCAACTGCACACCGGGAGGCCTTCCGAAGAGGGCCCCAGCAGACGAGGTCGGAGGATCGCGCCGCATCGCCGACGCATCGCCAACTGCATCGGCGTGGAGGCTAAATCATCGGGCTCCACGTCGAGCCACATCGCCGATGCATTCGCGGCGCGGCGTGGTCCTCCGACCCCATCTGCTCGAAACTCAATGCGGCAGGCCTAAAACCAGGTCGGGCGTGTCCCCCTTCAGGCGGATTTTGAACGAAAAATATTAAGAAATAAACAAAGAGATATTCCAAACAATTCTAACCTGGTCCCAAAAACGTATCCAGACATTGGGGCATTCCTCCCGTAGAGGGACGCGCCCGACTTAAAAGCCTAGAACACAAAGAAAACAAATATCGCCGACCAGGGGCCTTCCTGGGCCTTCCCGGTCGAGGAGGGGGGCCCACACGCCAGCCCAGGGCCCAGGGGGGCGCCTCGCCTCTCGCCTCGGGCACCCCTTGGAGGAGAAGGGCAGCCCCCTCCGGCCGAGGCCGCGGCGAGCGAGGCGCACAACCACTTTCGCGCCCCTGGGGCTGACCTGGAGGGCTCAGGATGGCCCTGTAGAGGGCAAGAAAGCCATCCCCATAATAACCACCCCGACAAGCGAGGCCGCTTAGCAAACGCGCCGATGGAGGGAATCAAACAGGGCAGGGCTGTCTAGTAAACGCCCAAGGCCGTTTAGCAAACGCCTGTTGTCCGGTCCGGGTGGTTTTTCATCCCTTGACTCTGGGCAGGGGTGGTGGTGGTGGTGGTGGTGGTGGTGGTGGTGGTGGTGGTGGTGGTGGTGGTGGTGGTGGTGGTGGTGGTGGTGGTGGTGGTGGTGGTGGTGGTGGTGGTGGTGGTGGTGGTGGCGGCGGCGGCGGAGGCGGAAAGCACGGAGCGGGAGCAGGGAAGGGCATGCCACAGGGGCGGAGAGACGCGAGGAAGCGCGAGGGGGGGAGAGTCTCCCTGGCGGTATGGTCGCCGCCTCTGTCGCTCGAGACGTCCCCAGCGCCTCCAGCGCGGGGAGGCGTCGTGGACCTCCTCGCGGGAGTGGTGGTGTTAGTGTCGCTTCTCCTCCCTCCGAACGAAGGCTCGTCCTCCCCCGCCCCCCCCCCCCCATCCGAGACGACGGAGGGTGGTGTTGGTGTCGCTTCCCCTCCCTCCGAATGAAGGCTCGTCCTACCCCGCCCCCCCCCCATCCGAGACGACGGAGGGAACACGACAAGGCCGGGCAGAGGCAGCCGGGATCTCTGAGAGCCAGCGGCAGCCAGACCCAAAAACCGACAGAAGCGGCCGAAGCCGAGGGACCGTGAGCAAGCCTAAGTTACCCAGCTGCGCAACAACCGGCTGGGCAGAACCGACTAAATGCAGCCGACTGTGAAGCAGCCGAGCCGCTCGAACCGCGGAGACCGTCGGGTACGCTCGTCGCTCGTGATTCTCGCTCCTCCCCAGGCGCCTCTGGGAGTATCTCAGTGGAGAACTCCTTGAAGCTGAACTGCAGCCTGCGCCGAAAGGGCCCGCCCGGCTGGCCCAAGCACGCACGCGCCCACCGAGAGGGAGGAGAGCCGCAGACCGCAGCAAGACGGCCCTGCCTCCTCCCTCCCTGCCTACCTCCCCCACTGCCTCACTCTGTGTCCTCCTCCCTCCCTGTCTGCCTCCCTCCCTCCTTCGGCGGATACACTGCCAGTCTCCAGTGCTTCTTGGATGGTCGCGTCATCTCTAAAGATGTAGTTCGGTACCCATCAAACCTGTTGCCTACTTAGCAGTCCTCGCTCCCTCCCTCCCTCCATCCCATCCACCTCCTCCTCCCTCCTGCTCCTCCTCCTCCTCCTCCTCCTCCTCCTGCTCCTCCTCCTTCTCCTGCTCCTCCTCCCTCTCCTGCTCCTCCTCCCTCCTGCTCATCTTTCCTCCTTCACGTCTGCAAAGACCATCCCCAGTGGACCCTGGGACCATGTCAAAAGAAAACAGCCCCTGACCGCCACAGGAGCAACGGAGGGCGGATTGCCCGTCGTCGCGTGCCCGCGAGCCGACGCCTTGCCCCGCCATTGCCTATCCATGTAGGCTTAGGTCGGGCATGACCCCCTACAGGCAGATTTTGAAGGAAAAACTAAAAATAGTGGAAACATACCCCCAAAATAATCAAAACATGCTAGAAACATCGTCCCCAGACTATTTTGGGACTGCTTCTGAATATTCCTTCTGTACAGGGACACGCCCGACCTAAATGTAGGCCCTAACATCCGACGTCACGATTCGGTCACAACGTGATTCCCAAGAGGTCTGGAACCTTTCCCTGGACCAGCGCTGCATCCCGACAGGCGCGCTCTGGGGGTCCCAGTGCCCGGGTGAGGGCCACCACCCAGGCCTCGGAAAAAAACGGCGAGCAATCGTGCCACACTCATCCGTCAACGCCTCCCCCTCCCCCCGATGTCCCAAAAGTTGGCGGTGGGTCTGATGAGCTTTATGTCGGGCGCGTCCCCCTACAGAGGGATTTTCGACGAAAAATACAGAATACCCCAAAAAATACACCAAAAATGCAAAAAAATACTCAAAAACAGTCCCCAGAGTATTCTTGAACTATTTTCTGACTATGTTTGGGGTATGTTTAATTTCTCGTCGAAAATCCCCCTGCAGGGGGACAGGCCCGACTTAAGATGAGCTGCACCTCCACCGCAGACCCCCCGCGCGCGCCAGCCTTGCCGCCGCCGAGACTCTCTTCGCGTTGCGAGGAAGTCGGGGCAGGCCCTCACCACGGGGCGGCGAGATCTGTACGCATCCGCTGTGCCTGGCCGGGCCCCTCCTGGGCCCAGGAGCGGTGCATGCGCCCTCCTGGCGTGTGCCCAGGGAGGCATGCATTGATGTCGGGCGTGTCCCCCTGCAGGGGGATTTTCGACGAAAAATACAGAATACCAAAACAAATACACAAAAAAAGGCCAACGAATACTCCAAAAATAGTCCCTGGACTATTTTTGGACTATGTTTGGACTATTTGTTGGGTATTTGTTATTTTTCCTCGAAGATCTCCCTGTAGGGGGACAGGCCCGACTTAAGCATACATGCACCGCTCCTGGGCCCAGGAGGGCCATGGCCAGGAGCACTGGGAGTGTGTAGATCTCGTCGTCCTGCACCGGGGAGAGGGAGGAGTCCTCTCTGGGGGAGCAAGCAGTGACGCAAACATAATAACTCGGAGGTCCGCCGGATTTCTTGGATCCGCGCTGGACCCCCCTCCCTGGCGGCGCCTCAGGCGCCAGGGGCGGCGCCTGAGGCGCCGCCAGGGGGCCCCAGCGCCGATCCTAGAAACCCGCGCGGACCTCCGAGTTACTATGTTTACGTCATTCTTCGTTCCCTGAAAGAGTCGTCCCTCCCCCCCTCGCCGCCGCACGAGGCGAGAAGAAGGCGACGCGCTGGCCGCACGAGGCTCTCGCGAGCGGGGGCTCGCCCACACGTGCTCGGGCCGGACCGCCCGAAGAGCAGAGCTCCAGCTGTCGGGCCCAAAGATCGGGACGGGTGCCCCTGCAGCAGCGCTGCTCACCACCGTCGAGGCGAAGATCCCCCTTATCCTCGTCCTGATCCGTCTCCTTCTGCTCCTCCTCCTCCTCCTCCTCCTCCTCCTCCTCCTCCTCCTCCTCCTCTTCCTCCTCCTCCTCCTCTTCCTCCTCCTCCTCCTCCTCCTCCTCCTCCTCCTCCTCCTCCTCCCGCTCAGGCTGATACCCAGCAGGGAAAAGCATTTGGGGGGGCCTGGGCTTCCGACGGGATCGCCTCACTCCCAAAGAGGAGAAGACGACGAGAGGAAGGCGGAGAAAGGAGGCGGAACTGGATAGTAAATACGAGGAGGAGGAGGAGGAGGAGGAGGAGGCGGAGCTGGATAAGTACGAGGAGGAGGAGGAGGAGGAGGTGGTAGAACACGCAGGACACTGGGCCAGCGGCCGAGCAGCGGGGCGGTTGCACGTCCACCGTCTCGACGGTCGCGGGCGGGACGAGGGAGGATAACATCGGAGCTCATCGGAGCGTACCCACCACGAGAAACACGAGCATCGGGTCTGCAGGAGAGGGAGGGGAAGGGAGGAAACGGGAAAAGATAACTGGGGAGGACGATCGGGAGGAGGCCGGGCAGGACGACGGGAAGAAGGTACAGGGCAGGTTCTAATACATGGGATTTTTAATACATGGTCCGCACGCGGAGCATGTACTAAAGACGGCACTGTACGCAGCCTGACGGACTCCGCCGCACGCAGCGCCAGCGGCCGCGGAAGGGTGGCGCGGGGGAGACACCGCCGAGGCCAGCACTCGCTCCGCGCCGACCCGCGGAGCCCACACCCACGAGGGGATCGCGGCGGGGACGGGTCGCAAGCGGTGGAGGCGTCGCAGAGCATCTCGCGAGCGTCGGACAGCAAACACGAATTGGGCGAGCTGCAGCCAGTGCGACTCGGGGTCGTCAGCCCTCCCCATCTGCGCTGGCACGGGAGGCCCTCGTGCCTGTGCTGATCGGCAGGACGACGTGCGGTAGACACCTACGGATGTGCGAGGTAGTTCACTTGCTTTTGAGAGGCGGGGAGCATCGCTATCTGAGGGACGTGTCCTCCCTTCCCTGTGGGACTCCCCCGCAAAGTGAACAAACCACCACTGCACCTGGCGAGACAAACAAGCTCGTGCCCACGAGTGGTGCTGGGCAAGCGGCTTCGTGCTATGGGCGTGGCCAGCGTCTGGCGCGAGACTGCGCTACCTCGCGTGCCCCAGCGCTTCCTGCTCGGTCGGCCAATATCATAACGATGCGCGATAAAAGATGCAAAAGGCCTTGGACGCCCACTTCGAAGCTTTTCGAGCTGGGAGCGGCCAACGAAAGCCGCGAAGGATGGACCGAGGAGGCAAGGATGCAGTTGTACCCTTGGGAAAATTGCCCATCCTTCCTATGCGGTGACTGTATTGGGCGGCCCCCACCCCCTCGCCTCTCCGCTCCTTCGCTCGGCGGAGGGCGGGAAGGGGCGGCAACGGAAGGAACAGACGAAGGGGCAGGGCGGGGTCCTACCTCGAGGTTGCCGACGGCCTGTCTGTGATTAACCCAAAACGAACCTCTAATCCATTTTGGAGGGGACCTAAGTTCGGAGGGCCAAAACATTTGGACAAGGGCTCCCTTCTGCAGATGTATCGGTACAAATCATCCGGATTTGTTACCCCTAGGTCAAAGACGGGGGCCTCAGTGAGGCCACGTTTTCACTTTGTTATCAGGGTTAGGGGTTCTTTTATTCTCGATTGGTCTGAGGGCGTCGCCATCACGAAGCACAGAGTGCACAGCTAAGCGGGCTCCAGGATCGGGCGGGGCTGCGGCCAAAGTCCTCGCCTTGACCAGCCCGACGGGAGGTGAGGCAAAACGCGCCGTGGGCGTGCTCGCGAGACGGGTGCCAACCCCTTGGAGCACTGAAACGGACAACTCCTGCTCATTAGCCTGCTGACCAGCGGCTGCATGGATGACCGACTGGTCACCTCCACCTCTTGTAACAGACTGAGCGTCGGGGGCGGACTCCTGCACATGCTCGCCCGAGGTCCCACCCTCACATTACTGTAACGGAACTTCCCTGGGTAAACTTCGGGCCGTCATCCGACGCATCCCTCCACGGGGTGCATCCCTTATGTGGTGGTACTCGGCGCGACCTTGGGCATTCGACCTGTACGACGGCGACTCCACGACGATCGAGTCCATTCCCTGGGTATCCGCCCCAGGGGTGCCAGGGTGCCCTGGCCCCTCGGCTCAGAAACACGCACCCCGTTTGGGAGCTGATTGCGCTGCAAGATGCAATATTTGATTGACCCGGGCAACTCGCTGGCAAGTCGAGCATTCCCCTCCTGAGGGCGCATGCGACGACCTTGAATGCTTGAATTCGATGTATTATTCCCCCACGGGCGCGGTCGCAAAGGCGACCCCATCCTGCGATTGGAAGCCACTCTCCCCGCGCGGCTGTCCAGGGGTCCGTCGACGCATGCCGGCGTCGACTGACGAACTGCCGGGCTAACTTTGGCTGATCAGGCTCTGGGTGGCCTCGTGCGTTCGAGCGGCACGGCACGCAAAGCTACCTTCGCACCACAAACCTCCTTCGCGAACATATAAATATATACCAAAGAGCGTGATCCACCGCCGCTTTACTGTGGAAAATTGCAAACTTTTTCCTCCAGAACCCGGGGTTCCCCCCCCCTCCGAAAATCCCCCCCTCTGCTGCAACCCCTCCCCACCCCCCCTCTCCCGGGCACCCCCCCCCTCCCCCCTAACCCCTCCCCCCCCCCTCCCCCTCGAAAACTGGGGGGGGGTTCGAACCCCCCCCCCCTCGAAAACCGGAGGGGGGGGTCACTACCGGTTCGAACCCCCCCCCCCCCTCTCACCGCCAGCAAACGACTCCCGGTCCCTACCACCGTCCTCACCACATCCCCCACTGTTGTTCCCAGCACCACTGTCCTCACCACCACTGTCCCCACTGGTTCCACCACCGCCCCTACTGTCCCCACCAGTGCC